GTCCTGTCGCCAGGTCCTGGCTGAGGGCACCCTCCTAGGGCCACCCTGGGGGGCCCCGGGGGCCCCTCCCCGGTTAGGCCAGCTCGCCAGCTGCAGGCTACGGCTCCAGACTCGGCGCCAGGTCTCCAAGCCCAGTGCTAGGCGAGAGAGCCGCACAACATCCTCTCTGAGCCGGTGGTAGGATGGCCGGGCATGGAGCTGACTGAGCGCCCGGGTGGCCAGCCTCAGGGTGAGGTCCGGGTGCAACAGAGTCACTGTCACTGCCAGCACGCAAGCCAGCAGCACCAGGCCAGTGAGATTGACAAGCACAAAGCTGGCCAGGAGTCGGGCAGCGGAGGCCAAGAGCTCCAGTACCAGTTGGCAGGGGGTCCAGAGGAGGATGGACATGGCCACAGCGCTGCTGGAAATGTGGGCTAGGAAAGCAGCCACTACGTCCGTCATCCTCCACAGAGGTCCCATCACTGCATCCCACAGGGCCAGCACCAGGGAGAAGAGGTTCTGAGTGCCAATGAGGCAGATGTTGACCAGGCTATTGATCACATAGGCCACCAGGCTCATGGTGATGGCACAGATGTCACAGACCTGGCGCAGCAAAGCATGGCCATTGGAGACCACATTGAGGACACCCCGGTGCAGGATCTCCCGGCTCCTAAGCGCCCCGTGGGAGGCCAGGTGCCCCAGGAGCTTTAAACTCTCCAGGCCAGAACAGCAGCTGTATAGTACGGTACACAAGGCCTGAAAGCCCCCAAAGGTGAAGGGAACCACGGCTTCGATGAAGGCCAGCAGTGACAGCAAGACTCCACGGCCCAAGTGCAGAAGACTAGTCAGTACCGTATGTGGCAGGTTGTAGATGAAGGCCAGGAGCCAGGCCAGGGAAGCCAGGAGGGAGGACACCAGCAGGAAGTTGAGGTCCAACACCAAGGTCAGCACATCCAGCAACAGGCCCACCCCATTCACTACCAGGTACACAGCCTCCATGATAGGGCTACGGGGGTTAGTCCAAGAGGAAGTCTGGCTCCCGGTTGAGGGGGGTGTCAGGGCTGTCAATATTGGGGGGGAGGAGGAGGCCGGGGATTAATTTGGAAGGGAAGTGAGCAGTCTCCAATACAGGGAGAATCTGAGGAAGAAGTGGGTTAGAAGGAAGTGGAGTCTCAACGGAGGGAAAGGGGGCCAGATGCCGGTCCAGGAGTCCCGGTTCTGAAGGCGGGCTCTTTGGGAGGAAATAGCCCAAACAGCTCTAAAGTGGAGGTGATTCCGGGCTGGAGGAGAAACCTCAGCTTTGGAGGCCTGGTGGTGGCATACCACGGCCGGGCAATGGGTCAGACCGAGAGGAGACCGGGAACGGAAGGGATCGGGCCAGGCCGGGGCCGGGTGGGGGCGGCGCAGGCTGGGCGCGGGCTCGCGGTCCAGCTACGCAGGTGCCTCTGTCCCCGCCCGGCCCCCGTCCTCTGGGCTCGCGGCGCTTCGCGCCCAAGGGAGCAGCGGGGAAGGGAACGAGCCTCAGCAAACCCCAGGCGCGGCCTCTACTCCGCTGGGCGCCGCCATCTTGTGTGCTACCGGGTGGGGCAAAAGGCGTGACAAGGAGGGAGGGACGACGAACTCTGACCAATCGGTGAGGCCCAAGCGCAGGAAACATCGAGCACTCATTGGTCCGTTTGAACGGCGCCCAAACATACTTAGTGCTTTAAGGGGTGCGGGGGGGAACAGATTGAAATCCCCGCCCCCTTGAGGCGGGGATTGGTCAATTGAAGGGCAGAGGTGAACTTGCCCCCGCTAGCCCCGCCCCCTAAAGGAGCAGGACTTTGGACTGGGATAATGTGGGCGCTCTTCTTTCACTTGGCCTCCAGCCTTGATTTTTTTTTAGGTGCGGGTTGGCGGTCACTGCCTCTGAGCTGGGCTCTAAGATTGCACCGCCTCCGCAGCCTCAGACTCAGTCGTTCGTCCTCCTCCATTCATCCGTTTATTCTCTCGTTTATTGAGCCTGCTACAAATGCAAATGAGGATTTGTATTTGTACAAATGAGGATACAAAAAATGTTTAAGACGTGCCTGCTCACAAGTAGTTCAAGGGGAAACAGATTGTGATAGGGGATTCCCAAAGTGCTATCTCCAAACTGTTTCCTCAAGCTCTGTCACGTTTTCTCAGCATCCTCAGGAGATTACCTCATTGTCAGTGAGAAAAGGAGGTCACATGCCGGAAATAGCTCACCCTCCTAGCCCAGGCCCTATTAATTTGTTTACTTGAATGCTCTAGTTAGATATCTGCCTGGGCACCCTTAGTAGGCTCCTCAAAAATTTACCCTCTTCTTTAATATTCAAATAATATTCAAAGTATCTAAGATCCTATCCCAGGTATATTGGGAAGCCTGGTGTTCTCTACTAAGCCCAAGGATACTTGGAGGTCTTATCCTTCCCCTGGCCTCCATTGCTTTAATTTCCTGCTTGCATTTGTCGACTTAAAAAAAAAAGCAAAACATGAGAGTCGTGAGTTAAGATTTATATGGGGTGAAATGAGGACTATAGCCCAGGAGACAGCCTCTGAGATAGTTCTGAGGAACTACTCTGAAGAGGTAAGGGGGGAGGTGAATATATGTGTAATTTTGGTAAGGGGGGCATACGTGCAATTCAGCACACATTTTGGCAGAAGGTTGCTCCTGGTCACAAGGAGCAGATGTCTCCGTTAATGATTTAAGTGCTTTTCTACATGTGAGAAGATGCAAGAATTTGGGCTCATAGAATCTTCTCCTGAAAATAACTATCTGAAGGCCTGTTCTGCCAGTTTTTCCCAGAGCACAGAGTGCCTCATTCCTGATCTCTGCCCTGAACTCCTTTCAGGGGATGTTGAAGGTCAGTGACTATGGTGGCTAGTGACAGTTTTTAGTTAGCACATTGAATTCTTCATCTCCACTCTGGCCTGGACTGCTGAAAGTGTCTGCCTCTGTCACCCCACCCTGAATACTGCCTGAATCCTTTCTTCCCCAAAGCACCACTGATGCATACGAAGGTGAGGGATGCAGCACACCTTTACTGAAACAAGGGGCTCCCAATAGGGGTTACACCATAGTGCAGGGCAAGGACTGCAATTTCTAAAACTCCACTGGTTTTTCCCCAGCCTCTCTCTCACATCTGTCAGGCCCCAACTTAACGTTTTCTCTGAGACATGTTTTCCCTTTGTCTTCCTCTTCCTTTGGAGACTTCCCCTCCCTTTCTCTAGCCATCAGACTCCAACTTCCCACTGTTATTTTATATTACAGAACAGTCTATTTCTACCCCTAACCCCATCTATGCTTTAGCCACAAAATGCTAATTTCTCTAAACAAAGGAGAATAATATAAAGATTTGTTTAACCTCCTGCCCAGATCACAGTCTGTTGTGGTTATTGTTGCTGGGGTTTTTATTTTGCATTTTTCCCCTAATTTCAAATCTTGGAGAAAATGCCCACCTCCTCTTCAAGATACTTGAACCCACCACGCATAACTTTTCCTCTTCAGAAATTTTACCTGTCCAGTGAACACTATTATGTTCTTTATTTATCTTCCTGCAGCACTTGACATCAATGACCACTTCCTCCACCCTTGGCCTCTGGACCTTACCCTCTCCTGTATTCTTTCTGTCTCCATCATGGCCCCCTCTCCTCTCCACACGATGATTCCCAGATCTGTGTCTTCAGCCTGAATCTCTCTTGTAGAGTTCAGGTTCCACATGCTTCCTGGACAGCCGCTGGATATCCCACTGGTGCTTCAAACTCAATGTGTCCAAAATCAAACTCAGCAAATTTGCTGTGCCTGCACTGTGTGTAATTAACCAGCCAGCTTTCCAGGCCGAGAAAGACCTTGAAGTTGGCAGCATCCTCTAAGACAGTATTTCCATTAGTCTGGGACTAATTAGTCTCCCCTTTGAGTGATTTGAGACACACTAAGCCAAAACCATCTTAGTTTAGCTTAAACAAGCCACAACCTTTGACTCTGCGGGCGTTCTAGTTGTGGGCAGGCAGAGGTGACCTGTGGCCAAAATTCTTGTGACAAATGAATTAACTGCAAAATGCTATCCATTCTTAAGCTAGAAATATAAGAAAGTACCATGCTACCACAAGGCAAAAGAAGTGCTCGGATAACCCCCGCCTTAGAGAAGCCAAGGCACTTCCCAGTGCTGAGAGGTTGTTAACACTCCCCTTGAGGTGATCATTGTGGTTGGGTTGGGTCTGGACTCAAGCAGTATCTCTACTGACTTGATGTTTCTTTCTCCTCTAGGACTGTGTTTCAGATAACAGCTGGTTCAAACTGACTGTTGCCAAAGCAGGGGTCATCCTCTATTTGGAGGCTGGAAGACTGGAGAGTGTTGGTCGAAAGAACTAACAGCAACTGACTTTAGGGTGGAAGTTCAAATTGCTTACTAGTGTGAGTTGCAGTGGTTGAGAAGAAAATAAGCCAGATCTGGAGAAAACTTAATGCCTGGAGGCGCTAGCCCTGCAGAATTGTGTCATGGAAGATAATAGTGGTGTGACCTAAAACTCTCAGGCATCTGGCCCAGAGGCCTCCCGGAAAAACAGATGGTTTCTGCTGTTGTGCTAAGTGCAGGGCTTTTGTGTTGCTAGGTGAGAGATGCTAGCTGGGATAACAGAGGGGGTTTTTAGAGGTTGTTCAGCCTTGAGGATTAAGAGATGGGATAAAACCAGAAAGAATGTCTAATTCAGGAGTTTTGTTTTGTGGTATTGTGTGTACTCTAACCCTCCCCTTCATCTCCCCATCAAGCATTCAGTAAAATCCATATTACTGCCATGGTCTTAGAGTTGGATTTTTTTTCCTTTTTGATTTAATTTGGCTTTTTAATCAGGCAAATCATTTACAGGGTCCCCAAATCAACACCATATAAAAAGGTACATTCCTAAAAGGTTTGCTTTTGGGCTTCCCTGGTGGCGCAGTGGTTAAGAATCTGCCTGCCAATGCAGGGGACACGGGCTCAAGCCCTGGTCCAGGAAGATCCCACATGCTGCGGAGCAACTAAGCCCGTGCGCCACAACTACGGAGCCTGAGTTCTGGAGCCTGCGAGCCACAACCACTGAAGCCCGCACACCTAGAGCCCGTGCTCCGCAACAAGAGAAGCCATGGCAATGAGAAGCCCGCGCACCGCAATGAAGAGTAGCCCCCCCGCTCGCCGCAACTAGAGAAAGCCCGCGCACAGCAACGAAGACCCAACTCAGCCAAAAAAAAAAAGCAAAAAACGGAAAGGTTTGCTTTTATCCTGCCCCCTCCACCCTGTTCCCTCCCAGTACCCCCCCTAGCCCCACAAATCACAAACATACCAAAAAATATTTTCCTCTTTCAATCAGGATCCGAGGCTTGGCACCGGTACAGGAGAACCCATAACCCTAAACATCAGCTCTGGTAATAATGCAGTTCAGGTCCAGAGAATCACTTCACGTCTCATAATCTGTGTCCTGGAAACATGAGGTGACTGTCCAAAATGCCACAAAGACCTGTGGTTTGTACCAGGGAGGATTTGAGCCATTGAAGCACTTAGGGAAGAAAAGAAATACATTAATTAACTAGTCAAATCCTCTTGCTTTTCTTCCTGTTCCAGTTTGTGGTTCCAGAAGTACTCAGAAATTAATGCGGTATTTGCCATAGTGGCTGAGGAACATTTGTAATATTAATTCATATTTTTAAAAATTTGTCTATATGTGAGTCTGGATGAAACACGTGTGCGTATTTAATTGGTTTTAGCCCTGTTCTGACTTAAGGGAAGGACTGGAAAAAAGCAACTTACAATTTTAGGCATTGATTTAAAAGGATGTTGAGAGCAAGTTCATGATAATGGGACTGACATGGTTTAGTAAAAATAAAGGTGAACAAGGTCATTTTTTTAACGAAAAATCCAGAAGCGTTTTTTGTGCCATATACCCTGTATGGCACATAGTTGAACTTGTTACTAGACCTTACCTTGACTGTGATCATGATGGCTTTCTTTGGAATGTTACAA